AAGTGACTTGTTACTTTTGGCGCTATTTCTCATAAAATATTGTCGTTCAACTTCGAATACAGTGTTCTGTAGCGAAAATATTTAGATAATAGTAGCTTTTTATATGTTATGTGTTTTTGTTGTTTATAAAGATATTTTCACGTTATCTGAACTATCAGAAAGATAAAAAATAGCTTATTTGAAATAGTCTAAATAAGATGTACAGCTTAAGAAAGAAAGAAATAAAATATTTATCAAAAAAGGTTAAACTTATTAACAATAGAAAATAAATTTCATATTTGTTATTGCCAACGTGGCTACCACTAAGTACGTGCTGCAATAAATTACTTCCTTAATTTATCCTTTCTCATTAGAAGTATAGAATTAATTTAAGAAGTAGATACAAATGCTTTACGGTAGAAATACAAATAGGACAGAGATATCCAAACGAATGACTTTTGTTCAAAGTCTCCCTCTGATTCTTCTTCATTATATTGGTATTTCTTAAGATATTAAATACATACGATATTACATAATATAATTCCATATTCTATTATGTGAGTCCAGGTAGAACTATATTGACTATTGCGTTATTTTAATTTATTATTACAGTCATTCACAATTCACTACTGAAAATAGTCATAGGTATGACAATTAATATAGGAAGCTTAGTTTACTAACTAAGAAACAGCTTTGAGTTGATTTACATTTAATATCCCACCTTGTTTCATCTAGCGAAAAATCTGTGGTAAAGATATAAATAAAATAAAAAAAAAAATCATTAAAATAGAACAAAAACAAAATAAACCCAAACGATAGTTATCACCGGCGAATTACTGCACGTAAAATTTATGACGATGCCATAAATCCTATGCTCATAACTAACAATTACGTCCAATAAGCACAATCTCCATAACGGAGAATGTCAAACGCAGAATTTCCATTACACATAAATGTCCACACCGTAGAGGTTATATCCATTATACTTATGGAGCAAAAAATTTCAAGATATTTTCTATGGTATTTTTATTTATTCATTCGTTTGAAGTGTTCATATAACTAATCGAAATACCCTGATAAAACCCTGGTAAAACTAATATTAACACGTTATGGATGAAACGATCACCTGACATGTAATTCAGGTGATTGACTTAAATGTCAGGTGATAGGACATGTAAGTCAATCACTGATTTACATGTCATATCTGTCAATGGTTGCAGGTGGCTCGGAACCGTTTCTTATGGCAGTTTATGCACAAGACCTATGTTCAGTAGTAGACCATCTACCAGAGGGAGACTTTGTACAAAAGTCGATTGCTTGGGTACCTCTATCCCATTCGTGTTTCAACCGTGAAGCAGTTGTGTTTGCATGGCTGTGTTTCGGTTTGAAGGGTGGGATATGGCATGAATTTATTGGGTACAGAGGAATAACACCTGAGTCCTCAGGAATGGCAACGCATATGCGGTATCATGGGCGAAACAGTATATTCTGTTATGTCCATGGTACTGCTCATGTTTATAGGCGACGTTTACCACTTTCCATCAGGTGGACCGTCAGCTTGTTTGCCAGTCTAAGTTGTAAAAAAAAAAGACAGCTAACGGCTGATAGGATGATATTGATGATGATGATGAATACGAGCAGGATCATATTCAGTTTACGAATAATTTACGCTTGCCAAGTTAAATTAGCCCTTATGTAATACAAGTGATACAAATTGGGCAATGAATATGTAATAAGTTCATGTGTACTTATGTATGTTCTCCGTCAGCCAAACTCTATGAAACATTAATGTGGCTGGTTCCAGTGACAATGTGTAAGCTTGCTAAAGTATACTGTTGTATTATTAGTGATTAAAGAAACTTTTTTTTTTATTAATTTATTTAATATATTTATTTGGTATATATATGGTACCGTATTCAAAAATCTCACAAGATTTATTTAGATCGCTTCGATCGATCGATTATTTAGTCGCTGACATTGATACATATACCTGAAGACAATTGCTGATAAAATGGACTGTCCCATCCTAAAATATTGGGTGGGACAGGTTATCAATGTAAGAGCGTTATGACCGCTCATTTACTAACATAGGTTAAGTCAATTTGTAACTAACAAAATGGGCCTTATGTAGTCTAATTAAATAAATATTATTATTATATATCAGTTAATACAATAATTAATATATATTTATAAGTGTAATTTATATAAGTTAGATTGTTAAAGAGTTACTAAGGTATTAAGTGTTTAAGTATATTTTAAGTAATAATATTTGCCCATTTATTGATACCTGTTTCGATTAACTAAGGTAAACTACCTTAGTTAATCGAAACAAGTATTCAGTTTTCGGCCATCGAATGACCTTGGGGAAAATGTTTTCAATGACAGTTTAGTCACAGATTATAATTATCAATAGAGGAGGGATCGATCGTCGAATATGCAGTCAATTGTCGACGAGACTGCATATTCGCCGATTGAACATTTTCTTAATTTTTATTTCAGTCGACAATCGCTTTCGAAAAAGAGAAATCAGAAATTCTTAGACTTTCGCGCCGCATATTTATAAAAGATGGAAATCAACGTGGTTATTTTAATTCTGTCTTGAAAGCAGAGACATAATAGTGTTACATCAGTCTACTCGTGACCATGAACGGTGTAATGTGGTCGAAACGTTGAGAGAATTTAAGTAAATTATCATAGGTTACTCAAATAATTGCGTTAATTCTCGGCTCTTATAAAATATAAAATTATTAGTTCCTTACTTTATATTTGTGTCATTACAAATTCTCTCTCAAACAACTCCTCCCAAATGCACTCTAAAAAACACTAATGTGCACAATAACTAAATAAGTATTAGTAAGAAAGGACATCTCAACTGTATAAAATAGTAAAGATGAGATGCTCAACATAAGTGTTCCTTAAAACACGAAAAAAAATTCTAACTACTCGTAGTAATATAAGTTTTGTAATATTTAGACTCATTTTTTTGTTATTCTCATATTGTAAATGTAAAAAGATTAAATATATGAGAATAGTGGTTTAGCCCGATTTCGGCCACCTATTTTAGTTTTCGAACACTAATTTAACTAGTTTTCGTCAACTAATATATAATTTGGAAATTAACTTATATTGACGTTTATATAGATTCTGTTATTGAATGAAAACTCAAATTAGTATATCGCTATTTGTATTTCCAATGGTTTTTCACTCGTATTCTAAAACGTTTCCTCAAACCTTACTCCATTCAATTTTTTTTATTGATGAAAATGAAATAGTAACCTCGCCTGCGCTATCGGGATACGCTGGCGGGGCACCAGTGAGGGATGGATAGGTGAAGATTAAGCAGGTCAGTTGGCTCATCGTGATAAATTCATCAAAAATTAATCACGTTGGTTTCCAGGGGGAACCGCGTGGAGGTCGACCTGTTAGGGTATATTGCTAATAATAGGTCTATTGGATCTCATAATTAACAATCCCTGTCCCCCCACTCCATTAGATTTATTTTCACTTGTTCAAATCGGTATTCTTATTTCAAAATATTTCTTGACTCCAGTGCTTTTTCTGTCAAAGCTACAGCTATCTTTAGGAAATGTAATATAGTGAAATGCTTTTGTAGGTAAGAGAAAAAAATGTTAATACAAAATCGTGTATAAAATATGAATGTTTAGTATCTATTTTAATTCTTACGATTGAATAAAGTAACAAAAAAAAAAAGAAGTTAGAAACAATAATAAATTAGTCAATATATTATAAAATTTTCCAAAGTGATGTTATTTATGAGATATCAAAAATCTAATGGAAATTTACGATTACACCGAATTGTAAAGACTTTAGTCGTTTACGCAAAGGGAGTTTCATTATCAATAGAGATCTACGGATACAGCCCTGTATACAACAGATGATTGCTTTACGATTTTATGCTATTAGATTTTTTCTTTGCTTTGAAATTGTCTTGTGACTACCCCTTCCTTGTGGGTGTCGTAAGAGGCGACTAAGGAAATGAAATGATTGAGAGACAGGCAGTAGCGTCCCTTTTTAAAAAACACCAAAGTCTAACTATGTTACCAACCCGTCCGCCAAGCGTGACAACTGCTGGCAAAACACCCCAATAAGGGCAGGTCTATGCTCAACAGTGGTCAGTTTCCGGCTGATGTGACGATGAATTCTATTAAACCTCAATCTCAAAGGTTCTTCAAAATATTAAACAATGTATAGGAATATGGTTTTCGAGGCTTCTATTTATATATTGAAAGATTACAAGTAATATAACAATAGTTGGCCTGCGAGCACCATCTTAGACTCCATCATCGTTTTCAATCAGGTGGGATCGTGATCAATCATAAATTTCCTAAACCTTAACCTTCAATAGTAAAAAAAGATACGATAATAATAACCTAGATTGTTTTTTTTTTTGATGGATGAAAATGGTATAGTAACCCCGCCCGCGCTAACGGGATACGCTGGCGGAGCACCAGTGAAGGGTGATAGATGAGAATGAAAACAGGCCAGTTAGCCCATCATGATGAATTCATCAGGTGTCACCATGATAGTTTCCAGGGAGAACCGCGAGCAGGTCGACCTGGTTGTGTATATTGCTAGCAATGGGATTCTCAGTCTCCATTACTGACAATCCCTTTCCCCCCAACCTAGATTATGTTCTATTGTAATTTATTTAGATTTAATTAATATTAATAAATAAGAAGTAAAACTATTTTATTTTTATATAAACTATGAGATTGATTAAGAAAAATATGTTTTATATATATAATATATTATATAGTAAGATAATAATAATAAAGAATATAGAAAATTTACGTAACATTGATATTAAATTTTATATTATCTTTTATTTGTCTCAATCAATCCTCTGGTCAAGATACAACATATGCTTGTACAAAATATTTTTTTCTATTAAAATAATCAAAAAATATTTTAACTGTTACCCTGTACTTTTGCATATTTTATATTTTGAACTCAATTGATTTAGGTACAGCAGCTTCCTTTAATATTTTTCTGTAACTCACCGACAAAGTTATAATTTTGTCGAACAGCATTATTGGCGGCATGTGGAAGTCGAAGACGAAGTACTGCGAACAAGAGAAATAAAGTAATGAGTATTTTTAATAATAGAATGTTATATGTCCTGATACAGTGGGAGTGGGGAGGGATTGTTAGTAATGGGACTTAACAGCCCTATTGCTGGCAGTGTACTCTATCAGGTCAACCTCCACGCGGTTCCCCCTGAAAATCATTGTAGATACGAGGGGCTAACTGACCTGATTTGGGGGGAAAGGGATTGTTAGTAACGGGGTCAAATAGCCCCATTACTAGCAATATACCCTGTCAGTTCGACCTCGACGTGGTCCCCCCTGGAAACTACCGTGAACAATTCTTGTTGAATTCGTCACGATGGGCTAACTGACCTGCTTCATCCTCCTCTATCATCCTTCACTGGTGCCCCGCCAGTGTATAACGATAGCGCGGGTGGGGTTACTATTTCATTATCACCCATAAAAAAAAAACTGACCTGATTTCATCTTCACCAATCATCTCTCATTGGAGCTACTCCAGTGTATACCGATATTCTAGGCGGGATCACCATTCCATTTTCACGTATTAAAAAATAACTTACTGCCCTTATAACTTTTTTTATGCAACTTGAGCAGTACCATGGACACAACAAGAGCATACTATGCCCCACATGTACCCTTCACGCATTGTCTTTCTGAGAACTAAGGTCTGATATGGATATGTACCTTGTAATTTCTTTGCTATATATCCTTCAAACCGAAATACGGTCATGTAAACACAACTGCTTCAAGGCAGAAACACGAATGGGACAGAGGTACTCAAGAAGATGACTTTTGAACAAAGTCAACATGAGAATCTAACTCAACATGAGAATCTAACTCAACATGAGAATCTAACTCAACATGAGAATCTTACTCAAGAAAATTTAAAATTAAAAGCTCAGAGAGACGATGGCATTGTGAAAACGGAACAAATAAAAACAACGAATTATCTAAAAATAAAAAAATAAATAAAAAAATTGTAAGCTGTGGCTTTGTCTGTGTGATTTAAAAAAAATGTTACCATATGTATTATGTTAAAATGGAATATAGTCCATCTAGATAGAGCATAGAGAGTCGAGAGTCAAAAACGTTCCAAAACGATCAGCCAAATGCTGACTGACGCGTCCTTCTTTTGTACTGAACGTTAAAATATTCAACGTATTGTTAGAGTTTACTGTGTATATAATATTGATAATTATAGCAGATATAAATAAATTAAAAGATTGTTTGTGTGATAAAAAACATCGATTAGAAAATTAATACATACAATTTTTAAAGTGTCATTTAAAAACAAGTTCATAGGTATATACTTATACTCGTACCTACTCGTAGACTATTGACGTAAGTTTCGTACTTAATAATTTTTATATCAAACAAAGCAATGAATAAATTTAAATAGTAAACAGAAGCATTATAAAAATAATATTATAAAATAACATTAATATTACAATGTCAAGATTTATAAGGTTTGATGCATAGATGTTTGTTACTCATTCAAGTAAAAAGTACTGGACGGATTTGAATAAAATTTGGTACATTGGTAGATTAGTTATATTCAAATTTAATATGTATACATAGAATACTTTATATAGTCTTATACCTATATAGTATGTAGTTTTGAATAATATCATATCCACAGTTATCTATTTTGTACATTGAAGTTCGATCTATGAGCCATAATCACGACACAAATAGTCAATTATATTATTTCTTTTCTATATCTTTTACAGCAAAATGAAACTTGGTAAACAAGATTACCCGGCTAAAGATATTATTATAGGCTAGTTTTTTGCTTGCTACCTCGTATTCGTAGATTTCAGAAGTAGGACAACAAATAAAACAGGCCAAATGTAGACAGATTTCTATATAAAACGTATATTAGATTCTAAATTACACTTTTAGGAATACAGCTGTAAAACCGCATCCATTTTGGTGCGGCAGTTTTAACGTGATGCCGATACAAATATACAGACAGATAGAAAGACAAAATTTCTAAAAAATATTAATTCGGCATTTATTAATTTTATTTAACCTCGTCTTGTGTGGGCCACCTGTTTTTTTTGCGAGTATCGTAAGGAGAGACTAAGGGAAGCTAATGTTCAAGGGATAGGTAGCTGCGTTTCTCATTAAACATCACGAAAGTCTGTGGTTGCTAACACGTTGGCCAAGTGAAGTAACTACTGGCGAACTCCCAATAAGGGGAGGCCTATATGTAATAATGGACAGTGGTATCGTCATAGTCGTAGAATACTGACTGATCTGACAAATATTACGAGTACATATAAAGAGCCGTTAGTATTTTTTTTTATACAAAAAACCACGTGTTTTGCTTTGAAGGGTGGGTTATATAAAGCAAGCATTGTTTAATACGAATAATGATAAAGGATATGTTACCAGAGGGAGACTTTGTACAAAAGTCGATTGCTTGGGTACCTCTGTCCCATTCGTGTTTCAACCGTGAAGTAGTTCTGTTTGCATGGCTGTGTTTCAATTAGAAGGGTGGGATATGGCGTGAATTTACTGGGTACAGAGGAATAACACCTGAGTCCTCAGTAATGGCAACGCATGGGGGGCTATCATGGGCGAAACAGTATACTCTGTTATGTACATGGTACTGCACATGTCTATAGGCGACAGTTACCGCTTTCCATCAGGTGGACCGTCAGCTTGTTTGCCATTCTAAGTTGTATCCGTCAGTATTCTACGACTATGACGATATGATAACGATGCTGATGTATTTTATAAAAGACTTTAATTTTTTTTTAAGTCTCCTACGTACAGGCAATGTTCAGTCGTATAAAATAAGTTACTATTAACATTTTATTACAAAGTGAATGAGATGTTGTATAATGAAAGATAAGAACCTTTTTTGACAGTTATTGGACCCCAGGGAAGTGTTTGCTGTTTGAAATGCTATTAGTATTTGTTGAACTGAATAAATAAAACGGAATTTAATAGATATTACACAAGTATTATGTATGCTCTGGATTATTTAATTCGTCTATGGAGAAACATTTAAATTTAGTATGTTGATTACGTTGTCAAATTTTAATTAAATATTTGAATTTAATATTTTTAGTAATTTGTGTTTAATATTTTCGGTGTCTAATATCGATAAAATTAATTCATTTTTAATGACAAAATAAAGATTTAAATAAAAATGAGAAATTTAGAAATTATATTTTTTTTATTCGATTGTATTTTTCGTGTCAAACTTAGATAGATATCAAGGATAACTCTGAACATATTTTAAGTACTTTTTCAGTGAATCAAATTAATTTTCGTGTTTTGTTTTTATATACTAAATTATTTACTTACTCGTTCTAGTTTCTAACTTATAATTTTCACACAGCAATATTTTTATTTAACAACAATGCTAGCACCATTTCACTGTGGCATGCAAGTCGCAATTGCAACATTTGCATAATAGAAATAAATAACTCGCATAAAATTAATTGTAGTAATTCTTGGTAAGTTACAGTTCTACATACGAGTATAAGTATAATGTGCCCTTGTAATGTATAAATTTAGAAAAATATAAACTTTACTATTAATATTAATGATTTATATTGCTTATAGTTTTTAAACACAAATCTTCACGATCATTATATTAGCCGATACAGTCCATGGTTGAACAAAGGCATCACCCATAAATGGGAGTTTTGCCAGTACTTGCCACGCTTGGCAGGCGGACAGAGAAGGACGCTGCTGTTCATCCTTCGACCATTAGGTTCCCTTAGTCGCCTCATATAACACCCATCTGAAAGGAATATATGCCTCATTTTATGCCGGTATCACACGGCAGATGATATCTATTTTGAATGCTTCTATAATTCTTTTGTATACATAAGTCGCTAAGTAGCTGTATTTGTATGGTTGTCTTAGTCTCCATTACTAACAATCCGTTTTCCCCGAAAAGGAAGGGTAGCCTATTCTATGCCGGGACCAGACGGCAATATATAAGTATAATATATAATATATCTATGTACAATACCAACCTCGTTGTAGTAAGGACAGTTGGTGCTCTCTTTTACACTAGTATATTTCCGTACATCGCCGATCTGCACGCACACCACCGGGTCCATGTTTAGTCCAGCCAGCTGGCGGGCCTCGATGACCGTGACGCAAACTTGGAAGTCAGCAGCTTTAAGCGCAGGGATTCCAGATGCGTCAATGGTATTTCGTCTAAGAAATAAAATGGTACATAGGTAAGTATAATCAATAGTTTTTATATGAGATGAAAATGGTAAACTCGTTTGCGAGCTATATTCGTAAATGATTGGTTGTGGCGTCTGTAAATAAATATTGTAAATATTCATCTCATAGCCACTTGTCAACATCATTACTTTCTTTTCCATCAAGTAGGTTAATTTAATTGTACATAGATATTTCACCTCTTTCTATCTTTCGCACTGGACATACAGACATGACAGCGACGTTTACTTCTCACATTCATTTCTGCTGTCATTCTCTCATTATATGAAAATCAATAATATAATCAAGTTAGTTGTTATTTATTTCCTCCAAACAACTACATGGTGGTGGTAATTTTTTTTGTTGGATGAAAATGGTATGTTAACTCCGCTTGCGCTAACGGGATACGCTGGCAGAGCACCAGTGAAGGGTGATCGATGAGAATGAAAACAGGCCATCATGATGAATTCATCAGGAATTAACCATGATAGTTTCCAGGGGGAACTGCATTGAGGTCGACTTGGTTAAGTATATTGCTAGCAATGAGATTTTTAGTCTCGATTACTAAGAATCCATTTCCCCCCAGATTGGTGAAATTAGATTAATAATTATGCCAATAATCAATTTGTGACACATGTAATAATTATTATTGCCATATTGACTTAATTAATTAATTAGTTTTTAATGAATTGTAATATTGATACTTATATTGTATCTGTCAAAAAGGCCAATTTGCTTTAAAGCTTTAATTTTCAATTTTTTTTGTGTGTTGCCTCTATCTGCACAAACTTTATTAGCTGATATCTATACTTATAATAAATCTGTAGAGAGGTCAATTCTGTACATGAAATATATTTCCAAAATAACTAGTGATTAGTGATTGATATTTATGCCAAAAATGTAATAAGTAAAATTTTTGTCTGTCTGTCTATATATTCGTTATAAAAACAAAAGCTACTCGACGGACTTTAACGAAACTTGGTACAATTATTTTTTATACTCCTGGGCAGGTTATAGTATACTTTTCATCACGCTACGATCAATAGGAGCAGAGCAGTGAAGGGAAATGTCGGGAAAACAGGAGAAGTTACTCCATTTTTAAGCTTCCGTCGCGTGTGCAGCCTTAAGGGCCACTTTATAAAATGTAAAAATGTCCGCCAGTGCGAAGCCGGGACGGGCCTCTAGTAGTATATAATTTTGTAATTATTTTGTCTTTTAAAGCTGTATGTTTGCTTTAAATAACTAAATAGACTGACATATTGTATGATAGACATTGAGTGTATCAGTGTCGTAACAAGTCTTAAAATGGCACATCAATTACTCGGGTATCTGTCCTGTTTTTATATAAAACCTAGTAATATTGTTACTTTCCTTGTAAGTTTCAGAAAGAGACGTTTGGTGACATAAATTTATAGCCCTCATAAATTAAGGACAGTACCTGCATAAAGACAAGGCCTTTCTATAAAGGTTTCTGACATGACTGGTCTATTGAGTCCGTAATGGATGTGCTGAATGGATTTTATTATTGTCTAAATCTAATAATAATTACTTTCTTTCTTAGTAAACATGCATACGCTTTATATCGCCTGTTCCTATGTATAATGTTGCAACTATGAAATTGCAAAAATATTTTTTAACGTTTCTAAATTTTTCAAATGGTTTTTAACTCATGTACTAGAAATCATAAAAAGACATTAATGGCTTTTCGGATTTTTTTAAACGTCTAGTATTGATATTATATCTATAGTATCTAGTTTTATCAAAACTATGTAACTACAATATTTTAACTTTTTTTTTTCTTTTATACAACTTAGAACGGCAAGCAAGCTGACGGCCCACCTGATTGTAAGTGGCAACCGTCGCCTATAGACATGAGCAGTACCATGAAAATAACAGAGTATACTGTTTCGCCCATGATACCCCCATGCGTTGCCATTCCTGAGGACTCAGGTGTTATTCTACTGTACCCAGTAAATTCACGCCATATCCCACCCTTCTAACTGAAACACAGCTATGCAAACACAACTGCTTCATGGTACCCAAGCAATCGACTTTTGTACAAAGTCTCCCTCTGGTAACTCTCCCACTTTAATATAAAATAGTGGTAACTACAAGCATTGTTGGACCAAAACTGTTGAAAGTGTCATTTTCATTGATTTTTCAAGTAACGGATTCGGCAAATTCGACAAATTTTAGCATATATACGATTCCTGGTAAATAGACGCAAGAAACAGTTTAGATGTAAATTTCAACTTAATGATTTAGTAAATTATATGAACAGAATTTCCTGTAAGGCCAATAATAATTATTTAATCTTTGTATAATGTAATTATAAGTAAACCTTTAACTTTAACGTTATAGTAATTGTTTTAAAAAAATCCAATTAGTATTAATAGAGTTATACGAAATTTAAACTTCAAATCGTTCTTTTAAAAGTAAGCATTTTCAGTTTCCGTTTTATACGTAGGGACAGTCGACATACCTATATCCCTTTGTCATTTCATTTGTACAAATGTTATTATGTAACAACCTTTATTCTTTTTTATGTAATTTTTTGTCGTTGTTATTATTTATTTATTTAACCAATTGAGCGAGCTTTAAAGTCTCTTAATACGTCCAGTTAGCAAAAATATTGTATTTATATTTTCAAGAGTACACCTATGTATTCATCTATCTCTCATATCACATGGATTAATAAAAAAAAAAAATTGAAGACTACCTTTCAAAGGCTTCTGTTATTACATACTATTAAAAACAATCCTTTTGACTGTGTTATTAGCAACACTTATAACTGGATGTTACGGCGCAAAGCTGGAATGCGGTTTTACTTAGTTAACCTAAGGCTAAGTTAAGTTCAGAACTTCAACGTAGAAGTCCATTAATTTGCTAAAGACAGATGTGGCCAGAGAAAACTACATACAAGCTTATCACTTTTAAGCTGTAAAATATATTAAATTGTTACTAGACGATCTCTATATATGGAAAACAAAAAAAAAAAAAAAAAAAATACAACGGAATTGAGAATCTTCTTTCGTTGAAAAAGGTAAAAGGAATAACAATAATCTTATTGTTTAGGGACAAAATCATAAACCGATATGTATGGGTCACGAAATAAATTATTATCTAAAACTATTGAATTACATAATATAATGAAAACACCGTGGGGTGAGGACCTGGTGATCTGTAACACAGGTTTATCCTACTTCAGATACCAGTTTTTTATAAAAAAAAAAGAAAAAAAATGACAATATTTTTTTTAATGGATGAAAATGGCACAGTAACCCCGCCTGTGCTATCGGTATATACTAGCGGGGTACCAGTGAGAGGTGATAGACGAGGATGAAAAGGCCAGTTAGCCCGTCGTGCTGAATTCAACGATAAATTAGTCACGACAGTTTCCAGGGTAACCGCGTGGAGGTCGACCTGTAAGGTATATTGACAACAATGAGGACTAACCTCCCCATTACTGACAATTCCTTCCCCCAAATGACAATATATTATAATTATATATTAACAATGATTTATATTAACAATTATCAAGCGATTTAAAGGGATATTTGGTTGCATGCGCTATTCTTAGAATTGGAAAATGGACATTGAACGACATGTTACTTTCATGTTACCATTATAGAGCAGTAATCAACCCGTCAAGTCATGGGAATATAACTGTATTCACCTAATGGTTAGTTATTTAAATGCCCTTCGTTATTTGTACAAATTTTATTATGCAACAATCTATTTTTTTTATACAACTTAGAATGGCAAACAAGCTGACGGCCTACCTGATGAAAAGTGATAATCGTCGCCTATAGACATGAGCAGTACTATGTAGATAACAGAGTGCACTGTTTCGCCCTCCCATGCGTTTTAATTAAATTATATTTATTTTTTTGATTAATTGGATCACGGTACGCTCACCGAGGTAAGCATCAGTATAGTAACAAATATTATATAACTCTATAAAAGAATATAAATAACGTTTTATATATATTTTTGACAGAAATAGTATCCAAAAAAATTTTTGATTTTTTAAATTATTATTATAAAAGATGAATTATCGAGTTTCTCGCGTTTCTTTTTAACAAATAACAACATTCTTAACCCACTAGTAGAATAAAAAAAAAATACTATTTAAAAATACTTGATCAAGTTTATTTGACAGTTTTACTTTTATTATATTCTTGTAATTTCATATATATCTCTCTAAAAATAACTAGGTTATATTTGGTTAGTATTTCCATTGTCTTTTTAAGTGTAATTGGAATGAAGAAGTAAGTAAGTAAGCTGTAAGCGGTCGACTACTTTGCCATGTTTCCATAAAAACCTTTTTTGGGGATGTTAATATTTGTTGTTCCTTTTTTTTTTCATTAACTATAATATTATAAAAAGGAAAGATTTGATTTTTGGTTTGGAATGGATAAACTTAAAAATTACTTAGTCGATTTTAAAAATTGTTTCACATATAGGAATGTACATTATCAGGGAATAACATGGGCTGTATTTTATTTAAAAAAAGAATAGCGAAGCAAAGACGGAATGCTAGTATTTAAATACAAATTTATGTGTGTTTAATAAAGTATTTAAGTGAGATAGAATGTGTAAATTTTATTTAAATAATACATACATCTTTTTAATCTTCTGTATTTCTGCCGGCGACCGTGTGTCGACCAGCACTTCATCAGATGAGACGGAAGTTTGACTTATAGGACGATCGGGCTCGGTCGATGGCCCCGGCATGTCTAGAAGACCTTGCTCCTCATCGCCGCTACTGTCACGAGGACGCGCTCGTCCAATTCGGATCAGGCTTCTCACATTCTTAAATGTGGTTATACGCTTGTGATCCGCACGCTTCTCTGATATGGTTACCACTTTATCCGCGCCCATGCTGAAGCCGCGTCTGTTGAAGATAGGAGAAATTCATGAATTTGTTATTAATAGGGTAGTCAGGCAGGTAAGAGGTAGTAACCCCTTATTTTGGGAAGAGAAAGGGATTGTTAGTAATGGGTCTAACTGACCCATTGCTAGCAATACACCCAATCAGGTCGACGTTCATCCGGTTCCCTCTGGAAACCAAGAGAGTCGAATTCGTCACGATGGACTAACTGGCTTGCTGTCATCGTCACCTATCATCCCTCACTAGTGCCACGCCAGCGTATACCCATAGTGTGGGCGCGGTTACCATCCCATTATCACTTATTAAAAGAAAACCTTTATTCTGAGAAATGTGTGCTATTCCTTGTTGCTAGCAATATACTCAGTCAGGATGATTTCTACGCGGTCCCACAGAAACGACTGTGGTTAATTCTTGATGAATTTGTCACGATGACGCAACTGACCTACTTTCATCCTCACCTATCATCGCTCACTAGCGCCCTGCCGGTCGTGAAGGCGGGATACCATTTCATTATCATTCATTAATAAGAGGGTAGTTACAGGCGTTGTGCATATATTTTGTCGATCATATTAAAACCCAAATTGGGACCGAATCTATCGCCATCGCTCGGAGTAATTTGATTTGTTAATTGATGTTTTTCAATACCAAAGAGTTATATGGGAATTTAAATTAGATAACATAGTCAGTTTTTGGTGTTGGCCAGATTGAAATATATCATTTCGCGGTATATAAGTTGGTGTAGCAAGATATACGAGTATTGCTAGATGGGAATTATTAAGTGTCTCTTTTGAATAATACTCTTAATTATTTTTAAAGCTAAGAGATTTCATTATTTATTTTATTCTCTAAACAGTTGTAATTGTTATTACATTTTTATAGCTTATAAATAATCTTTATTACCCAAAAGTTATACAAGAATAAGTATGGAAATACAGCTTAATTTAGTGTCACTTGTACACAATATTCAGTATTTTATATTCCTGTTTCAGATAATAAAATATATATTTAATTTGCATAATGTTACTTAAACATTAATACGGAACGTCTGTGGAGTGTTATTAATATTACATTAAAACATACTATTTCATACCTACTTAAAATATGTGTAGGAATGATTTTCAATGATACATAATACTCGTATATGTGTTTAAAAGTGGGGAGAATAGAACGTCAGACAAGATACAAATTATACGATACGACACGTGTTACAAAATTTGTAATTTTTAATATTATTGCAAGTATATAGTGCAAGAAAAGAATCTCGAAATGAAACTTTGAAACAAGTCGCCGCTGCAGCATGGTTATAGTAGATTAAATAGAATCCTACTTTAATGAGGATACACCAGTATCTAGCAGTGGAAATATTATTATATTCCCAGTAGAGTAAAAATCTTATATACTATATATCAGTAATAAGAAAAATTGTTGACAAGAATTTACCGTACTTTAATTTACAGGCGAGCACTAAGGTTGTTTTTTAAATTAGATTATAGGGAATTAAATGATGCCGCGGACTTACTTAATTAAGCGTTTCCCTGCGATCTTCAGTTTGCGGGCTCGGGACTCGTCTCCTGATTCTATATCGATCAATGTATCCTTATTCTGGAGAGAACGTTCTAGGCTCGCTATGTTACGTTCAATATCCTCAAGGGCATTGTCCTCGTCGATGTCGGACTGAGGTGCAGAGCTATGAGTGGATCCGTGAAGAGATCCAGCTACGGAGCCATGCACAGATGGATGTGCAGACCCATGCACTGATTGTTGTGCAGAGCTATGAGATGACGGTTGTCCAGAACCATGGGCTGATGGTTGTGCAGAGCCATGACCTGATGGTTGTGCAGAGCCATGAACTAATGGTAGTATAGCGTTATGGTTGGAACCCTTTGTAGAAATAATATCGCTGCGGTATGGAACTTCTTCAATTGACATGGCGGGTTTTATCGGTGCATTGTAGTAGACCTCCATGTCGACGAATACCTTCAAAGAAATAACAAAATTATGTTAATTTCGTTTTCACCTGATTGCTGGAAAAAGTAGGTCTATAATTTTATTCAATATGTATATACTGTTATTTGTCTCATACATCCTTAGCTGTAGGGGATTATTAGTAATAAGAGCTATTAAATTCCCAGTGAATTTGTTACAATAAGCCAACTCTATCGTCACCTTTCATCACTGGCATTTAATTTCGTAAACCGTTCCATTTTCATCTTTTAAAAAAACAATAGCATCTTAAACACACCGAAAATAGATCTTAGACTTAAGATTTATTTATTAGTAAGAACCTAAGTATCTAATAATTTAGTTCCTTTCCACATACAAGTATTTGCTGTAAATGAGTACACGTAACTATGAATAAATGAATATACTTAAAAATATATTACGAATCTTTTTTTTTTATAATCATTTTTAAATTCAAATTTTAAATCATTATTTATTTTTCAGATAACATGATCTGTTTTGTTAGTAACAGCTTATAATTTATTAAAAAAAGATTTTACTGTTATTTATAAAATAAATTTAAACTATATGGAAGAGTATAGAAAAATTCCACAGCACATAAAATGTAAAATACATATTTCCCGGTTTCCGTTAGCCATAATTAAAGCAACGTAATTTCAAGTCGTCAACTTACAATACCTAATTGGCATTTTTTTTAGACAAAGAGCATCGTTCATACAGCTCAGTTATAGGTGAAATATGATAATACTCCACTTGCGATAATCTTTATTAGAACATGATTAAAATACAATAAGTTTTATAATTATTTCACTGTGACCAACATGAATGAGATATTATTGCTTATTTAAGTATTTGCTTTCGAATTTCTGTGTTTAAAATATACCAATGACGTCATAATCTTGGCGTATCAACCAAAACATTGGCTCTCGAAATCATCCACCTCTGAGCTATTCATATTGTATGAGAGGCATAAAGAGAACGAGATGAACTTGTGGAATTATTAAATAACTACCTACTTCACGCCAGCTTCCTAATAGTAAATGCCATTTGCTTGCTTTGCTATAAATGTGAGAATTTCTAAATATGTTTATAATTTAACCTTAACATCAAAATGGTAAAAGCTTAAGGTGGGAACGAATTTAAACGAAACTTGTTACACAAACTTTAATCATACTTATACATCTAGTTTAGTTAAAGACTCTCTAATATTTTTTTCATTAATTTATATCTATCCACAGCTGAACATAGGCCAGTATGGGAGTTTTGCCAATAAATGCTACGCTTGTTACAAAGCCTAAGCTTTGGTGTTGCCCATCTCACGACCATCAAATTCGCTTAGTCGCCTCTTACGACACCCACGGAAAAGGATCAGGTGGCTTATTCTACGTCAAGACCACACGGCAAATTTTGACAAATGCCATACCATAAACAGACCGATTTTTTTTAAGATTCTGTACCATAAAGGTAAAATGAACCCCTATGGTGCGACCTTGTTCGTTTATTTGTAGCAGCACTGTATCTTAGTAGCAGTTGTCTGTAACCACTGATGCTATTGCTTTGGACTTTTGCATAGTTTTTGATAAATTTGGCCCACACATATTACAATGGAAATAAATGAGAAATAAATTGCTAGAGGAATTGCCAAGTGGCGCCACGCAAAATTAGAAAAAAGTTTTCTCGTCCAAGCGGGGTGTAACATGAAAGGGCTTCGTCTGTATGTTTGAAAACTGATTTTTTTTTCTTTATTTTAGGGCTGCAGAAGTATAGACATAATACGACAAAAGGTACCATTCTTTATTTTTTTCAGAAATTTGTTAAGTATAAATCTTAAATAATTTCAGGTTATAATAATATATAAGTATATGAATATTGCAGAAAAAATATATCAATGTTTCTATCACAGTTTCTACATTATAAAAATACTTTTTATTTACAATTATAGCCTAAAATAAGGAATTTTTAATTGAAATAATAAAAAAAAAATTATTAGGAACGTAGCCTACGTTCCAGCGAGTTGAAGAGCAACTATCTATCCATTTTCATCGTACTGATTTTGTTTCAAACTCTTTCATCCTACATTCTTCATAGCTCTGCAACGGGCTTCCTGATACCATTGAGAGACTACCGACTAAACCGTAATTAAAAAAATGTTCATACATTTATACTTTATCCGAGCAGTAAGTACTATATATTATTCTCATTTTCATATATATTTATATATATATATATATATATATATATATATATATGAAAATGAGAATAATATATAGTACTTACTGCTCGGATTACTAGTACCATATTCGAGTATTCTGACACTTCCGTATGGTTGACTGGTAGATAATGGTTACAGTATTAAGTTTGCCATATACACATATATGTACTAATAAATAAATAAAATAGGTTTCTATTTTATATAAAAACTAGCTGACTCGGTAAACGTTGTTTTACCATATACATTATTTCTAGAACTATACTTGAAAATTTATCGTACTACAATTATTATATTCGATTGCCATCTTGCAAACCTATTGCAGAATATAAAAATCGTGATTAAAAATAGGGGTTGATCGTAAAAGGGTGAAAATTTGGAGTTATATGTATTTTTCTATGCTAAATCATAATAAAAGTAAAAAAATATTGTTAAAAAAATAAAGAAAAATATTTAGGGGTGGGTCACCCTTATCATTGAGGGGTATCAAAAATAGATGTTAGCCGATTCTCAGACCTCTTTAATTCTTATAAAACTTTGTAGATTCAGATTACACGTTTTTTTTTTTGATAATTCACCTAAATTATTTAATTTATTAAAGCTAATTTATCCAACTCGGCAAGTCGTTTCCGTCAAAAGGGCGGACAAGAAATTTGGACTGTTGCTCTTTTCAAACAAAAGTTGAGTTGACAAGTTTCGGATTTTGTGATTAACAACATAATATTTCTCTTGCTTATTCGACATTCATAAAACATTACTTTGATGCTAGTCGCTTCCGGGTAATTTTAATTCAACTCCCTCCTTAACTTTCAGTGCATTCAATGTTTAAGCGACTTTATTTAATTTATTTAAACTTTATTGTCCATAATGCGATACAAAAGGTGGACTCAATGATTTTAAACTTTTTAAATTATTTTTATTTTATTTCTTGATATACATCAATTATTTGTTTATGTGCTTACGATTAAAGTTTTTTTTGCTGATCAAAGTAAACTTGTTTCAATACCCGAATATTCATAATTATAATATTACTTTTAATTTATCTTTAGTTTATTTCTTATATAAACTTTTTGTGCATTATGTGAACGTTAATCAATTTTAAGGACTCTTTTTTAATTCTTCTTTAATTAATTCTGATTATATTTCTGTTAATTTTTTTATAAAGTTTTCGCCTGAATTGTTATTTTAACAACCAGAATTAATGATTTATCATTGCAACATGATATCTATCTAAATTGGATTTTCGTCAACAACAATAATAGATCAAATTTAATTGACCATTAGACTAGTTTACGATAACTCAAAACAATAATATTGTTTTGAGTAAAATTTAAATGTTTATTATAAATACTAGCTTTTACCCGCGACTTCGTCCTCGTGATTGGGATATGTTTACTGACCAGGATAAAAAGTAGCCTATATACTTCTCCATCCTATATAATACGTATATAGCAAACTTTATAGTGATTAGTTAAACTGTTAAGACGCTATAAGTTAACAAATAAACTCATACATACATATACATCTGTCACGCCTGTCTCCCATTAAGGTAGGCAGAAATAATGGTACGTCAAATAAGAATTTACTAGTTATGACGTCACATCATCATCTTACTGCTACTACTAGACAGATCAATACATTCCGAATGCCATGCTGTTCGAGACATATCAAAGGTATAAGACCACTGCCAAAAACCAGTATTAGAAACAAGTAATATTGGTTTAGTTAATCAGATATTTTTTTATATACACTATTTATTTTATATATATATATATATATATATATATATATATATATATATATATATATATATATATATATATATATATATATACATTTCAGGGAAGTTTTAATTGTAAGGCAAAAAATCAAGTGACAATAATTGTGTAAACATCACGCCACAAAAAAATATACAGCCAAATTAGGAATTTGTTACTGCTTTAATGCCAATTAATAATGGGGTACATAAATGAAGGCCGTTCAAAGGTTGCTATGGCAGCTTACCATTTATAAATAGTTATCTATCTATCCTTTTAAGAGCTGCGCTCTTGTCGGTGGAGCTCTTGCCACTCACTACGATTTTCAGCGAGTCTCTTCACCTCCTGATACGACACGACACCAACTCCTTCCTTGGTCTGCCTGATGTAACTATGTCTCGGTCTCCCTCTCCCCCTTTTCCCTTCTATCTTACCTTCTATTATAATGTTCATAAGTTCGTCGTGTCGTATCAAGTGTCCTAACATTCTTCTAAATAGTTATAGTATATATAAAATATACCATATATTTAAAAAAAGTCTTAATTTGTAGGCAGAAAATCGAGTAACTATTATAATTGGGAAAATATCACGTCCCAAAAAATATGTAGCCAATTTACGAATTTGTTACTGCTTTGATGCCATTTAACAATGGGGTTCATAAATGAAGGCCGTTCAAAGGTTGCTATGGTAGCTCACCATTTACAAATGGTCGAGTGCACGTTTAATTGGATATAAGGTTTCTAATAATATTTTGGAAGTAACTACTGTGAAATATTGGGTTTACATTGTATAGATTCGTTGTTTGATTAATATCGAAAATTCACCTTGTAGTATTATCTGATGACGACGAGGTAGAAGTACATGTACTTTGTCATTGTACGTTACACTGAAAAGTGGGTCAGTGAGGCTCCAGACGCTGAGTTTATCATCATTAAAATTCAGTGAGTCAGCCTAAGGGTAATTTCATATTGCGCCGTTATGATCCGGAATTCTGTGCGCAATTTCCACGTATAACTGACATACACGTGCTCCGGAAGCAGTGATGTGAC